TAAAATAACAAACTACAAGAACTAGAAGAAGCTACATTTTATTTTATTTAGCTTTGTTTTGTTTTATTTTGTTTTACTTTTGAATTTTTTGGAATTTTGTGTCATTAGCTGTTTTATTTTAATAATTTGTAAACATTTACTAGCAATTTCTAAGTGATTTTTACTACTTTTTTACATTCTGTTATTTTATTTGTATTTGTATTTTTTATTTTGTGTCATTTGCTGTTTTATTGTAATAATTTGTAAAAGGTACAACTCATTTCTATGTGAACATTTTGAAGTAAATCCTACAATAAAACACTTCGTTTAATTTTATTTAATTGTTTTATTTTCATTAAATTTTTTATTTATTTAGTTTTTATTTTGTGTAATTTGCTGTTTTGTGAATTGCGAAATTTCTGAGTAAGTAAATCCTACACTAAAAGCACTTTTTACGACTTTACTACTTTTTAAATGATTTTATTTTATTTGTACTTTAGTTCATAACTTTTGTGTCACTGATACTAAGAAATGTGAATTACTTGCATAAAAACCCATGTTAGACCAAAAGAATCAGCCAATTTGTATCCAAACATACTAGTAGTTGTCTTAATAATTTCATAATGAGCAATATTGCTGAAGTGTTAAAGGTTCATGAGTTCCCAGCATGCATTGCAGCATGAATAAATGATGCAGAATGAGGCATTTTACATTTAGCAAATGAACAATATCAGCTTGACAAAGCAAAGTTACTTTAAGACCCCGTTTTCAGCTAGATGTACTATACGAAGAAGAAGGCGGCGTTCTTGCTGTTCATTGATTTTGAGGCCAGATTGTGTTTGCTTGCTGAGAGTGTTGTATGATATGTGCACATTTCATTAATGTGTCGTTCCAGCTGCTGTAGAAGTTCATGATTATTAACTGATTAGAGAAGCTTCAGAGCTCCAGTCATAACCAGCTCTGCACTTTTATTTAATTTAATTTAATTTAATTTTTTTATTTAATTTTTTTTTTTTTTTTTATGTTTAAAAAAATATGTTTTAAATAGATTAACTGTTACATTTATTTATTTATTTATTTATTATATTCTTATATTATTATTAATGTATGTAAAAATAATTGCATCATGAATATGTATTATTAATTTATTTATTGCCTTGTGACATTATTATCATTAAAATGTGCCACATTTTCCCCATAAATTCCCATTACTGTAATGGAAAAAAAATTGATATATTATTTAAATTATATTGAAAGTAGAAGTATCCTAAACTCTAGAAGAGACAGATTTCTGGCTCTTATTTCAAGGATGCTTTTCCACTCCATATAATCTCAGTGCTGTTTATGAGACAGAATTGAGATATTCAGGAGATCTCATTTGTATTTTTTCTTCCTATGGGACCGCAGCCATATTCATCTCGTTAAGTCACACTGCTTTTTCTCGTCTGGATGTGTCTGGAAGCAGCGTGACGTATGCTGTCACCGTTTTAAAGCGCGTTTCCCCTCATCAGCTGAAATCATTCTGATGTCCGTCCCAGTTTCACAGGGAATTGGCTGCACTTGTTGCCAAAAAGAAATGGAAACCGTGATTCTGGGATGGTGAAATGATTGACAAGCAATTACATTAGCCTGCATTGCATTTCATTCACTTTGTTTGCATTGGCTGCAGTAAATTCAGTCTTTCTCTTCCACAACCCCCAGCCTTTTCTGTCCTCTTCTTTTGTGCTGTTTCTTTGATGCACACTTAGAAATCTGGCTGGTTTTCTAATGTGAACCTCCTCAGTGTGAACCCAGAAAGAATGATTTAGTTTGAAGCATGTAGTTAATTTGCTTCCATTATGACAGCTGCATTTACAGTCATGCACTGTAAAACATGATTTTCTTGGTAATTATGCTTTTAAAAAAAAAGAAAAAATATCTGTGGGGTCAATTGAAACAAAATAAGCTGAAGTGTTAAAATAACTAAAACTAAAACTGAAATATAAATAAATAAAATATAAATATACGTAGATCTCATTTTAATTAAATATAAAAAAAACTCATAGTAACATGACAAAAGCACATTAAAAATTAATAAAGTGCAATATGCAACATGCAAAACATTGTAAAGAATGATTTTTTTGCTCAGTATTTATGCTTAAAACAAGAAAAAATAAATCCGAAAACAAGACAATATCTAATGTTATTTTGTCTCTCAAGTAAATGTATCTTGATTTTTTTTTTAAATAATTTATACCAGGTTTCTTATAATTATCTTAAACTAAAACTGGAACTGAATTTTTTTTTATAATAATAATAATAATAATTGGTTACTTAAAATAAAACAAACATGAACTGAAATAATAACTAAAACTAAAACTGAAATATAAATAAATAAAATATAAATATACGTAGATCTCATTTTAATTAAATATAAAAAAAACTCATAGTAACATGACAAAAGCACATTAAAAATTAATAAAGTGCAATATGCAACATGCAAAACATTGTAAAGAATGATTTTTTTGCTCAGTATTTATGCTTAAAACAAGAAAAAATAAATCCGAAAACAAGACAATATCTAATGTTATTTTGTCTCTCAAGTAAATGTATCTTGATTTTAAAAAAATGTAATTTATACCAGGTTTCTTATAGTTATCTTAAACTAAAACTGGAACTGAATTTTTTTTTTAGAATAATAATAATAATAATTGGTTACTTGAAATAAAACAACATTAACTGAAATAAAATAATAAAATATTTATATATTTTAATAAAATATAATATGTAAAATTAATCATTTTCAGTGCAAAATGCAACATTTCTTATTTTAATTTAGTTTACCTTGAAGTACTAAAATAACTAAAACCAAAATTGAAATAAAAATT